TGGGGATGCTCTCATCCAGGTTGTGGAGGAGGGGGAAGAGCAGAGCCGGCGGGGGAGGGGCTGAGATATGGGGCAGCATGCAGGGCAGAGGAGGATCAGAGAGCCACACCTTCCCCACCCCTCATAGGCCAGTGCAGGCAGGGAGGGTTTAAAGCCAGTGCCTGGCAGGGAGGCAGGAGACTGGACCAGTGGAGGGGACAGAGGAAGCAGGGACCTGCTGGAGCTGGGTGAGTTGCTGCGCCCCATCCCTGGGAATTCCCAGCCCCGGGAGTCCACAGCCCAGAGCCCCCTGCTCCCTAGAGCGATCGTGGCCCTCTCCCAGCAGCCAGAGGCGCTGCCTGAGCTGGGGCAAACCCAGAACCACCCCAGAGAGTTACTGGGGGAGCCCCCATGGGTGTAGAGGGGTCACTCCCGATTCACGCCGAGGGAGGGGGCCAGCTTCACATTCTGCTGTGAGTTTGCTCTTGATTCATGCCGGGGGAGGGAGAGAAAGGAGCGTGAGTCCCAGGGAATGCAATGGGCTTACTCCTGATTTACAACAGAGGAGCAAGAGGGGAATCGGCCCCAGGGAGCCACTATGTTCCCCTCCTCCCCTGCCCCACCCGTGCCCCAGCCACTGGCCCGCTGCTCTGGGAGTGAAGGCTCTGAGGGTCCCATGGGGGAGGGAGTTGCTAGTGCAGATTTATCTGCCACTATCCCTGCTGGGATGTCTCAGGGGCTGGGTAATTGCTGGAGGCATTTGGGCTGGAGCTTCCCACCTCGGGGGGGCCTAGAGCCCGGTGAGCCCCAATGCCTGCAGTTACCAGCCTTTCCCCCAGCCTGGGAGCCCAAGCCAGCTGCTCCCAGGGGTGTCTAATTGCAGGGTAAACACACCCTGGGGGTATGTCTACACTAGAAAGTTAGTTCGAACTAACGGACGTTAGTTCGAACTAACTTTCCTATGCGCTACACTAGCGCTCCGCTAGTTCGAATTTGAATCGAACTAGCGGAGCGCTTAGTTCGAACTAGGAAAACCTCATTTTACGAGGACTAACGCCTAGTTCGAACTAGCTAGTTCGAACTAAGGGCTGTGTAGCCCTTTAGTTCGAACTAGTGGGAGGCTAGCCCTCCCCAGGTTTCCCTGGTGGCCACTCTGGCCAACACCAGGGAAACTCTATGCCCCCCTCCCGGCCCCGGACCCCTTAAAGGGCCACGGGCTGGCTACGGTGCCCGTGCCAGGTGCAAGCCTGCCAGCACCCAGCTAGCAGACCCTGCACCTGGCACGGCACAGAGCCACCCACCCGATGCCCCCCAGCCCACCCCCTCTTGCCGGGACCAGGCTGGCGGCTCCCGGGAGCTTGCCCTGGACCGCAAGAGGCGGGCACCTTCCTGGGCTAGTGCGGACATCGTGGACCTCGTCCACGATCTCCGCACTAGGCACAGGAAAGTGGCCGTCTAGGGCAGGAGAGCTGCCAGCCTGGCCACCCAGGACCAGGTGTGCATGAAAATCAAGGGGGTCCACTGAGACCCCCGACCC